CTCTCTCTCTCTCTCTCTCTCTCTCTCTCTCTCTCTCTCTATGAATGTTTGTATTTATCTAACTAAATAGCTGTACTTGCGAAGATGCCACATCTATTCTCTAATTAGGACTTTTTACTTTTATGATCGATCTCTTTGAATCTTTATGAAGAAGTAGAGAGAGTGAGACGAAACTACAAGAGAAGTTGCAACCAGCAGGCACGAGAGAATCGATAAATTGAAAGGTGGTTCTAGGTTAGCCTGTGAAAAAGGTGATTACAGAGAAAAGTAGACAGCAGAAGACACGTATAAATAAAATAGCGTAGGAGTGCACAAGAAGAGAATCGGATCGGCGAAGGGGAAGAAGATCAGATCTGGCAATAGAAGGGAGAGAAAGAGAGAGAGAGAAAGTACTTTTAAGCTCGTCGAGCCAGCGCCCCACGCTGTCGAAGGTGGTTCGGCGGGAGATGTCGTAGACAATGAGAGCGCCGACAGCGCCGCGGTAGTAGGCGGAGGTAACGGCGCGGAATCGCTCTTGGCCGGCGGTGTCCCAAATCTGAGCCTTGACTTCCTTGGAGTCGATCTCCAAGCACTGAGTCTGGAACTCGACGCCTATGGTGGCCTTGGAGTGCATATTGAACTCGTTGCGAGCATAGCGGGAAAGGAGGTTGGATTTTCCGACCGCTGAGTCTCCGATTATGACGATCTTGAAGAGGTACTCTTCTCCCCCCTCGTCATCTGAACCCCACATTTTCAAACTCTATTCCCAGTCCTCCTTCTCCGACCCTCCTCCAACTCCAACTCAGAGAGAGAGAGAGAAAAAAGAAAAGGTTTAGTTTCTGAGACTGGCTGCTTCGCTGTGATGATACTCCACACAACCTGGCATCAACAAGCTCCGTTACTCTACTCTCCTGCATTCATTGCCCTTCTTGTCCCACTCCTTTCCTTTTTTTATATAAAATTCAAATTATTATTATTATTTATTGCTTTAATAAAATTATTTTAGTTTTTTAAGACACCTAAAACATGTCCGTTTGTTTCTCTCTGTTCTATTCAATCCATCTTCGCTTCATCTATGGTTGTAATTGGTTCATTTCAAACGAATAATCATCTTGTTAACAATTTTATAAAAAAATAAATGATTATTATTCTTGAAACAATGGGAAGTTAAGATAGAAGATGACGTGGGAAATGAGACGATAAAAGGAAGGAGTAGGAAAGTTGCGTGTGGTTGGCCGTATTGAATAAAACTGAAATAAATGGTAGCCGTAGGATGGGAATTGCAAAGTTTTGGTGACGGTTGGGAAACGGCGTCGTCTAGTTTAATTTAATAATTAATTAAAAAGGCAAGAAAAAAATGGAACAGTAGTTGTTATAATCGGCTTTGGATTGCAGGGATGCAGTGAAGAGAGCCTCGAGGACTCTGTGACTTGCCTTGTTGCCTTACAAGTCTTTGTCTGCTGCCAATGCAAACCAAAACGATGTCGCCTCCTGGCTTCCCTGTGTTGCTGTTACTGCTGTTTTTCATTGCCACCGCCACCGCCACCGCCGCCGCCGCCGCCGCCGATAACGATGCCAAACGCGACGACCAGAGGGCTCCCAAGTCCCAATCCTGCAATAACCCCTTCCAATTGGTATTCTCTTTCCATTAATTATTCTTTTCTTACTTCCGTTCGATCTCCTTTTTTTTTTCTTCTCTTTTACTCCTGCGAGTCGCTTCCAAAATCCATCACAATTTTATGTGATTTTCTTTATTGACTGGCTGCCTGCCTGCCTGCAGGTGAAGGTGGAGAATTGGATTGATGGTGTGGAAGGACGTATTTATAATGGCGTCACTGCCAGATTTGGCTCTCTTTTGCCTGAGAAACCTGAAAACAGTGTCAGAACTCCTGCAATTTTCTCTAATCCTGTAGACTGCTGTTCCAATTCAAGTTCAAAGGTTCTTTTCTTCCTCTTCCACCCTGCTTCTCTGCACCTACGATCTAATACATTTATGCCCTTGCTACGTGCCGATTTTAGAAACATTCTTGATAAACTCTCTAACTAATAAGAGACCTCATCCATGTTCTGTCTTCGTGTTTCAAACTGTTTTTTGTTATTCTATTTTTATCCTCCAATAGCTGATAGTTAATGAGGTATATTGTTTTTCTCAAGAAACATACCCAGTGAGTTATGCATTCCTCTTTTTACAGTTGTCTGGATCAGTTGCTCTCTGTATACGTGGGGGTTGTGACTTTACAGTCAAAGCTGAATTTGCGCAGGCTGGAGGTGCTACTGGCATGTTGGTAATAAATGACGCAGAAGGTTTGTTTTAGTGCTTCACACACTATGAGACTTCTATACTCATTTTCAATCATTGGTAAAGTGAGTTGCAAATGTTATTTTTTATACTAAAGCATATTCACTTATATGAAGATGCAGACAATTCTTGAATGCATTTAATACATAATGGAAATATGAAATGAGTACTAAGTAGTAAAACAAGTGACATAAGCATGGACAAAGTGACACGGCCTTTTTCACACTACTGCTCTCATCTTTGAATATCTACTAAATGTTTTAGCGTACAATTTACTTATTGAATCATTGCTTTGGTTGCAATTAATGAGTTGCACACTTTTCTTTTTTCTGCTCCAGTCGATAAAGCTTTATATGATCGTATTTAGTGTAATATCTAACTATTATTTTTTCCAGATCTCTTTGAGATGGTTTGCTCCAATAGCAGTGAGGCAAACATTTCAATCCCAGTTGTAATGATAACAAAGTCAGCAGGAGAAGGTCTCAACAACTCTTTAATATCTGGGAGGAAAGGTCAGGACTTCAATTCTTCTAACATCTATTGGTACAATTGTTGTTTAATATTTAGCCTTGTATATCTATTAAACGATGTTGTATACTTCACAGATGCAAATAATATATATATATATATATATTTCTTTTTTTTTTTCTGTTTTTTCTTCTTTTTTGGCCATTGTAAAATGTGTATTTGAGTTCAATGGTGTTGCCTGTGACTATAGACCTGACTGGGCCGAGTGGGATATGACTTAATTGTTTGTTTTTGCTAGTAACATGTATATGAGGATAGTTTATTCTCCTCTCTTTTATTTCATTTTATTCTCCATCCAATTGGAGAAGAAGACTAAAAGTGGCTTGGACATGTGAGAAGAAGACCCTCCGAGGCTTCATTGAAAAAAAATAATCAGATGGAAGCTAGTTTGATTACAAACAGAAGGGGATGACCTTAGAAAGGATGCTTTTACAGCTTGGAGGCTCACCCTTCTAACACAGAATTGATAGAAATGTTTTAGTGCTTTTATTCTCTGAGAGCATCTCCAGTAATATGAGTTGTTTCATACATTAAAATGCATGATTTGTGGTATCCCATTGCTTAGTAACTTATACCTAATTTTTCTCCTAACAACTCACAATTGTGTATTTTTTAATGTTTGTTGATACTAGATAATCAATTTTTAATGTTAAGAACCCATTTCCTCATATAAGATGCACATCTTATTTTAAAGGAACACCTCTTGCCCGGAGAAGATTTCATTCTTCAAGTTAAGAAATTTATTAAGAAACCACCATTGGAAATGCTCTTAGTAGCTCATTTTTTTCTTTATACATTGCATTTGAATGATTTGACAGAGTTGAACCTAGGCTTTTCCAGTGACAGATCCGGCATGCCACTGCTAAGCCAATTGTTCTGAATGATTCTTGTACAATAATTTGATATATTAACTCGGGAAAATGAATGTATGTTTTCTCCAAATCATGGAACTGAACTGAGATATATTCTATTCAAGTGCACTCAATCTTGTGTGCTGAATGCCTGTACGAGTTGGGACTATTTGTTTCTCTTTAATGATGACATTTTTTCGTATTCAGATTTATATTTAAATTATTTATTTAGTGGACAATGTAGTTAACTATCTTTAATTATTTGTGCATTTTAAGATATATTCAATGTACTTAATTCTGTTTTGATTTATTGTATATGTCATGAATCAAATTAGTTATTCATGTTAAATATTAATTTTTTTCCTCATGATTTTACCTGTTATATTTCATACATTGTAGATTCTATTAGTATGTTACAAATGTCCAATTAAACTCATTTGACCTTGAAACCTTAACTGATCTCATTTTGTGGTTCATGGATTGTTTAAGTTTTAAAAGTACTGATTAATACTAATAGTGCCACAATGTGTTATTTGAGTAAACAGGATGCAAAAGAAAAACTTGGTTTCGTTAATAAAGAAGCTCGTTCATCTAGATGTCAGGTTGATTTTCCACTTGACTTACAGATTGTTAATTTTTAGTTGTCTATTGCAGTGGAAATTTTGTTATATGCTCCACCTCGCCCACTTGTTGACTTCTCAGTTGCATTTTTGTGGTTGATGTCTGTCGGAACCATTGTATGTGCTTCTCTATGGTCGGATTTTACTTCTCCAGAGAAGTCTGATGAACGCTATAATGAATTATGTCCCAAGGTTTGTTTTCCTTGCAACCCTATACTATCCATAAAGTTTGTTATACATAAATTTACTTTGGTGATTCCTTAAAAAAACACTTTTCTGGATGTGAGGACATGCTTTTGTCATGAAAAAATCTACTAATATTTGAACAATGCTAAAATGGGAAATGTATAATCACAGTTTGAACTAAGCATGTGTATTGATCTACATTTCCTATTTCATTTTGTTTGGCCACTGATAATTTTATTAAGAGTGTGTGTTTTAAGTTTTGCAAATTATTCCTGGGAATGAACTTATGAATGTAAAATTCCTGGGTTTGTTATATGTTTTAAATTATTTTTGAGACATGGCTGATTCCAGTGAACGTGTCATCTTTATATTTTGCTTGGATTTTGTTCCATGTCTGATTCTCACATTAACTAGGATAAACTACTTGATATGGTACTTAAGCCTTGAAATTCTCCCACTACATGGACTAGTTTTTTGGCTTAGACTCTACTCTTCCTCTTAAGTTCTAATAGTTGGTGTTTCCCTTGAAAGTTGAACTACTAAAAGGGCTACCTATAGGTCAGATTAAGAAGCAAACCGAATACTAGTAGGTAGTAAATCCATCAAAGAAAAAACGCTACCATCGGGTTAGTGTCAATAGAGTGAAACCCATCATGAACATACATATAGGCCCTTAAAGGTAACAATGTTAGGAGTTCCACGATGAATAGAATAAACTACTTGATGTGGACTCTACTATTGTGCTCAAGTCCTATAGGTGGGTACATTCACTCCCTCGGGGGATGTTAGAAATTTCAATTTTTTGTTTTGTTCTTGTACCAGTTGAGTTTCTGTAAGCATTTCCATAAATGTTAAACTCTATCCAAACATATTTAGTTTGATTTACCAGATAATATTCCTCATTATAATATTCCCAGGAATAAATAATACCACCAGTCTTCTATGAATTTTACAATGGAGTACAAGAGTGTACCTTCTTCCTTTTTGTTTACTGATACATTTTCTTTTCACGTTTACTTTTAACAGATGTTCAAGTTTATTAATTTGTTCCTATATGCTTCATTTCTTTTGTTAGGAATCTTCCATTGCTGAAACAGCCAGAGATGATTTTGACAAGGAAATTGTTCATATTGATTCAAAGGGTGCCATCATATTTGTCATAGCAGCGTCTACCTTTCTTGTGCTATTGTTTTTCTTCATGTCGTCTTGGTTTGTCTGGGTGCTGATTGTACTTTTCTGCATAGGTGGTATTGAGGTAATGTAGCTCATTTCC